CCACAAGACTTATTTTGACACGGCAGCTCACATGTAAAGCATTCATATTCAGATAAAAAAAAATTACATAAATTACATTGCACGGATCTAAAAACTGATTATATGAAAATAGAAGAGACAAAAAAAAAATGGGAAATTGAAGTTCAGAAAAATAATTACAAAAAAGAAAAAAGAATTGCACAAGATATATATTAACATTCAAATTTAGAATAATATATTACAAATATAGCATTGCACAGATCTAAAAAATTAATATATAAAAATAGAAGAGACAAAAAAAAACATTAACATTTTAAATATAATTGGAAAAAAAAATTGCATAATCGTAAACAAAGCAAAGGGGATTACACAAAATAAAGTGAAAGTAAAAAGTGGACCATTATCGAAAGGAAAACAGGACATAACAATGTTTTTAAAAAGCAAATAAACAGTTCAAAAAGTAATGAGTGAGCCATAGAAAAGCAAATGTCGCATACCAAAACGTCATAAAGTTGTTGTTAAAATCTAGCATGCGAAGGATATTTTACCATTCAGGAAACACACCAAAATTTAGAATAAAATTCTTGTATCGGTTATTTTTGACCAATGGTAATTCATATTGTCTTTTCGTACGGAGGTTATAAGGCTTAGTGGACAGTATTAGGCAGTGATTTAGGAGATGGTTTGCGTGTTTCACTTGGTAAAATATCCAATGCAAAGGTTAACTCTTCTCTCTTCTAGTTTTGTAAAATTGGCCAGATTTATTAGAGCTTTATTGGCTTCATTTGTACGATGAATGGTAATAAATAATGTTAAGAGAGCGCTTGTTTTTTTTTTCTTTTTTTAGTGGCGCTGTTGGTGCAGGCTGGTCAGAGCCATATATAAAAAGAGTTGCGACATTCCGCTCCTCGGTTTGCGAAAGTCACGTGGTACACACCGTCCATTTGTGTCCAAATCTTCCAGATGAACACATACAAAGTATATGAGTTAGGTATATTACATAGTATTTTCACATGTTTGATTGCGTTTATGATGTTATTACTTAATTAATAACTATTTAATATCAAAAGCGTGATTAGAATTTATCTTTAGAATTCGAATACTTGCGCGTGTCACGCCCACTTGATAATTGAAGGCGAATTACATGTAATTACATAGAAATTATAATTAGAACGCGAATCGCGTTGGACACATAACGCGGATCGCGTTGGACACGGAGTGGTTTCTAAATTCCCAATGACGCAACTCTTTCAGCTCTGAGGCTGGTGGATTTTAATTTCCATTTCTTGTTTTTGCAGATCTTTATCCATTTTATAGTTTTTGGGCTATTTATCAACAAGTATTCGCCTTTTTTACAGTTTTGGTGTCATTTTAGTCGAATTTCTGGTGTTTGTGCAGGGTTTGGATAGGGTTTGCACTGTGTTTTGGGGGGTTTGCGGGGTTTAGCAATTTTTTTATACAAAAAATGGCATTTTACCCCAAAAATAGGTTGTGAAGAACATAAAATTATGATTTTTTTTTATTGAGATACCAAATTGAGTCCTATACTTATGTGATTCAATCATTATCACAGAGTTTGGATGGGGTTTGCACTGTGTTTTTGGAGGTTTGCGGGGTTTAGCAATGTTTTATACAAAAAAAAAAAGGCATTTTTACCCAAAAAGTAGGTTGTTACGAATGGAACATTAATTTTTTTTAATTATATACCGAGTGAGTCCTATACTACATGATTCAATCACTATCACAGGGTTTGGATGGGGTTTGTACTGTGTTTTGGGGGGTTTGCGGGGTTTAGCAATTTATTTTATACAAAAAATGGCCTTTTTACCCCAAAAATAGGTTGTGAAGAACATAAAATTAAAATTATTTTTTATTGGCCTACCAAGTTGAGTCTTATACTATGTGATTCAATCATTATCACAGGGTTTGGATGAGGTTTGCAGTGTTTTCTTTTTAAGTTTGCGGGGTTTGCAGGGTATGCGGGTTTTGCGGGGTTTAGCAATACCCGCCTGAATTTTGCACTGTCCAAATTTAGTAGCAATAAACAATATAGTCCTTGTTTCTGGTGATTTCAACCTGCCAGAATGGAATTGGAAAACCAAGTCTTATCCAAATCAACACATCAAGTTTAATGACATCTTAGATGATAATGGTCTCACTCAGCTCATTGCAGTGAGGTATCCAGGGGGGAGCCGTGGGATCCGCCCCACCCTATTTTCTTGAGCCAATTCAAATTCTTTCCTGGGATCACTCAAAATGAATACTTCTAAAACATATAAGTATTAGTAATAATAATGATAACAATAATAATAATAATAATAATAATGACGATGATGATGATGATGACGATAGTAATAATTGATAATTTAAAATGTGAAGAAAAAATCCCTGATAAAAAAGATCGTGAGAATTTTTCTGGTGCTTCATTTTGTCTAATGGTGATGTGATGATGATGAATTTTACTAAAAGTGTTATTTCTGGGCATCTAGAGGTATATTTCCTCAAATTTTCTGACCTCAGCACCAACCATGGTGGGTCTGAGGTGGGTGTCAACTCGCAAAATTTCTTCAACAATGAGGCGAACAAATAGAGTTTTAACATATTTACGCCTGATTGTAAATTCCTTGCTAGGTCAACATCATCTTGGAGAGTACTAGAGCACATTCTTTCACTTAAAGTAGTGTCATCCATAAGTTTAACTGATGGGTTATTGAATTAAAGTTATGGATAATAAATAATACTACCCTCAACCGTGTACCTTAGGCTGAACCTCCATTAGGTGAAAGCCAATCTGTTAAAATATGTCAAAATTTAACCCGTCGGAGACCAAATTAATTATTATTAATTTTTTATTTAATTTCGAGCCATAAGAGTTCACTAATTAATGATTAAGCTACTTTGGCAACAGTGGTGGTTAGAGATATGGGGCGTAGATCAGTTTGAATACATTTTGGTGGTGACACCTTGGGCATAGGGATTGCATCTGCACACTTCCAAGCCTGCTGGGGAACAAGACCTTCCCGCAGGCTGGAATTAATGACAGAACAAAGAGGTCTAGCTAACAATGAGGAATTCTCTTTCAGGATCCAATTTGGAATCTGATCTGGCTTTGATGCTCTGTTACATTTAACACTTCTTTCGCAGTTGTTTAACCTGGTTTACTTTGTTCCCATGTTTTTATACACTTCTCATTTCTGTGTTTCAAACGCTGGTTGGCGATGAGCATTCAAAGATTTAAAGCGACTTGTTATCCAAGGTTTGTCTAGCTTAGTTTTAATTTCTCAATGAACATAGACCACTGATCATTACAATGCTCAGTACGGTACAGGAGTTGCCAGTCCGTGTCGGAGAGATAAAAGAGATATATTTTTGCTCCTTCATCAACCTTACGCATGTCAGTTGTTGTTAAAAATGTTTCCTTATCGAACTTTCATCTTGGACGACAAACTACAACGTTGTTGTCAGATAGACGTAATGGTGCAATTGCTATTGGCTTGGAGTAAAAATCAGTCATAAATAATATGTAAATGAGCCCTAGGGTAGAAGAAGAATCATATCTGGTAAATATTTTCATTATTTGTTTTTTAGAAGGTATTGCTTGAAGGGGTAGTCTTTTATGGGGTTAAAATCTCCCTAACAACGATTTTAATATCAGGATGTTTAGCCTTGATTGATGAACATTGAACAATATGCGAGCACATTTTCCTGTCGGTATCGTTACTGTTATGCAGATGGTAAATTAGACCGATTGATATATTAGACACTGTTCTAGGTAGTCGTTTAGGTTTTACGGTGGCCCATACAGATTCAATTCCTTCACATATAAGTTCACTACTTATACTAAATGGGATGTTGGATCTAATATATAACTAATATATAGGATGATACCTCCGCCCCCATCATTCACAGGTATGTCGGCTCGTAACAGTGTATAACCATCTAAAATAACGATGTTATACAGAATTCCTGTGTAAAGGTGAGTTTCTGTAACGGCAATAATGTCCGGAAAAAGGTCGATGGATCGCGTTGACAATTCGTCAATTTTAATTCTGAGAGACCTGGCATAATCGTCATAAGCAGGGTGGGTAGATTCCAGTTGCAACTGACGACAATGAGATTCTAATACCTAACACCTCTGCTCTGCTGATTACGTAGACAAGTTTTTTTGGTGTTACTGAGTGGTTGGGGGTGGGGGGAATTGAAAGATAGCCTTAATTTTTCTAGGTTTATTTCTTCCTTCTCTCCATCCTCGGGGTTTATTGGATTGAATTCCTAATTTATTTATTATGAATAAGAGGCTTGTATTTCTTCCCATAACTCAGATGGAGCAATTTTTTTCTATCGTAATGGTGAATAAGGTTGGTATTGACCTCTGCTGCTGACCTGGGCCTACCAGGGTTGCCCCGGTGGTTTCAATCAGTCATGGTGAATTCCTCTCTACAGGAAATAAACTACCACATTAGATTGTTGCAAATCGATTCCAAAGCTCTAGTTATTTTTAATAACTTCTGATCCTTGCACACCATTACATTAGGAAGTGTTCCATACAGGAGCAGGTACTTAGCGTTGTGTACAATTCTCCTTAGGTCAGCCTAGTACTATGCACAGGTACAGACCGGAAGTGAGATTCGTTCGTAGAGAGACGATTGACAACGAGGTTCTTGCTTCCTAGCGTATGCAGTAGAATTTGGCTCTTAAAAAAAATATATATATAACGACTTCAAAACATGGCACTAACAAGAAAAGAAGAAATCACCAACAATTAAAACGTAAAATTGATTTCAATGGTTACAATTTAAGGGAAACTATAGCACTTTTCTCTTCTTTTATACCTCTTTTTACGTAAATTAGTTGGTTTTCTTTTGTTTAAAACTAAAATGCTTACGGTTAAAATGAAATTTGTGGGATAATTGCCTACAGTGAAGATGCTTTTTTACTATAGTGAGTTGCAAGTCTTCATTCTCGATGAAATAAAATGTTGTAATTTTTAAAATTGTTGTTGTCTTATTTATTCATTTTAGGTTTATGGAGTGTGCTTATTTGACTCATATACCTTCGACGATAGCAGACAACACAATTGCTGTCTCTTATACACATCTAGATGTGTATAAGAGACAGGTGTCGGAGAGATCTCTTATACACATCTAGATGTGTATAAGAGACAGCTATTATGTCATTGTATGCTATTGTTTCATTTTCGTATGTGAGAGTTGCATAATTTTTAGTCTATAATAATAATAATACAATCCTGTTAGTATGTGTGTTTGTAAAACAGAACATAGGGCTTTTCCTCATTGTTATAATGTGAAGTGATGCTGAAATTACAAAACAAAATAAAAACTCATTTTACAAAAACCTAAAATATACACACAAAACAGACATGAAATCATAAATAAGAAATATTATGAAGAAACATGAGCATCAACTCGACGCCAGGAAAAAAGCCATGTCTGCTACTGATAAAATATAGAATGAGTTCTTTCCTTGGACATATTCTGAAGAAGATCCAAGTGACGAACAGAAAGACCATGTGCAAAAACATAGGGAAAGAGGATAGAAGAAAACCAAAAACAACGGGTTTTTCTGCTAACACAAAAAAAAAACCCCAATGAAAATATAAAAATAATACGACATGAGTGAGACACGAACTATAGCTGCAATGGTAATAGCGATGGTGATATGGGGACTCGAAATCACTGAGCGCTATATGAGCTGCCACTCACTACGTATATATAAGTGCATTTTTAGTTCACTTACCATAAAAAGTACCGCAGTGAATAATATTTATGCATTTTATGGTAATATTACGTTTAACCTAGCTGCAGTTGGTTTTTAAAAAAACTTTATAAAACGCAACTTGCGTTCAAATAATTAATTTGATTACCAATTTATTAATGTTCTTGGTCCTCATACTAACACCAACGGATCATCACCAAAATTTAATCCTTTTGTCATTAGGTCATCATGACAAATTATTATGTAAAGTTTTATTTCAATCTATTGCTAAGTTTTTTTCTTCAATTATGGGATGATCCTCAAATTCACACTCGAATCTTGATAGCCACAACAATTCAACAAAAGGCTTCTTTGTAAGTTGGTTAGACTTTTTGAACAGTTTCATTTAAACCAGTTGATTGTTTTTGGTATATCTGGTCTGGGACGTTTCCATTTAAATGGTACTCATGTCCAACCCTACTCCAGATCGTCACAAATATACACTGTTTAATGCCTAGGCCCCTGGATGTCTCCCAGTGGTAGTTGCTAGGTTCCCGGAAATTTTCATTTCAAATATAGCGAAAATGTTGCACATGGTCTACTGTTTGGAAACATTTTGTAAAGATCAAAGCATAAAAAGTTACTATGACTAAGATGCAGGTCAAGATAAAATCCTTGCAAAAAATGAGGAAAACATGTAGAGCTAGACTTACTATGTCTGTTTGAGCAACAAAACATAGGGCTTTTCCCCATTGCTTTAATAAGAAATTAATTTGAATTTGCAACAAAAAGGAAAGTCATTAAAAGATATAAAGTAAAAAAAAAACACGGAAAATCAATTTAATTTCAATGAAGTAAAAAACAAATGGTTCAGTTTATTGTTCAGGCCAGTTACATTCCAACACATTATATTTAGTGTTTTACTTCGGATTTTCGTCTCTATCGTTACATCAGGACCTTGACCTCTTTCCTATACTTTAATTATTTTATCCTCCTCAATACTGTATGTATACACATTATGACCTATAAGTAGTTTATCGTACCTGATTTTGAATCTCTGTCCGTTACTAATCGCTTCATCAATTTTTGATTGCAGTTTCCTCCTTATTGTTCTCACTCTATATACGTGTAATCCTCTCCGATACTAATCTTTCCTTTCCTCTGTTCATTCGTTCTGGGATGTTTTCCTTTATATGGTCCTCATATTCACCCCTTACGCCGGATCATCACAAAAATTCAGTCATTTCTTTACTAGACCTTTACATACTATTATAGAAAGTTACATTTACACTAATTGAAAACTTTTTATAGTTTACGTCTGGAATCTCAAAAAAATTAAATGACCCTCCAATGTACACCCCTGACTGATTCGTCGCCAACACATATGCTATCTTTCTTGTAACTTGGTTAAAATTTCCCGAAAGTTTCATTCAGATCAGTTGATCCGTTTTCGAAATAAGTATGTGGTCTAGGACGTTTTCCTTTCAGTGGTCCTTAGATCTACACACCCTACTCCGGATCGTCACACGATTTAATCATCTTTTTACAAGACCTTTACAAAGTATTATAGAATGTTTCATTTAAGACCCATTGGTTTTTTTTAAAGAGATATTTAGGTCTGGGTTCTCAAAAATTGAAAAGGCCCTCAAATTTTCACCCTTCACTGGATCGTCACTTGATTAAACTTTCCCGTAATTTTCATTCACAAATCAACTGACCGGTTTTTGAAATATCCGGTGTTGACTGTTCGACCTTCAATCACTTTAGTTGGTCCTCACACGCACACCCCAACATAGATTGACACTAATTATTAGGAGGCAAAGTACGGCAAATTTCTAAGCATCAAAAGTGACCAAAGAGATGGCTAAAACAAAAATAAATACAAAAAGATTGGAACAATATATGCAATTAAAAAAAAATCAGAACAAAAACAATGGCTTTTCAAAGTACTGCTGTGAAAAGCCAATAAAAAAAAATAGATACAATAACAATACAATTGTTTACTGCTAGAAAAAGCCAACTAGAGCAGACTCTGAGAGTGTACCTCCACCCACATCATAATTCTCCTCTGTATAAAATGCACACGCCTCTTTTCCTTTCGAAGAACGTAATAAAAAGAAAATCTCAAACTCCACCGGCATTCAAACCACAGTGGGGCTGAGATGGGTAGACTTTCTATCTGTAAAATTATTCGTGATCCCACTATATTACGAATTCCTGGATCTGTCAGTGATAATAGTCAAGTAGTAAAAAATAATAAGAGCATCAAATATTGGAGATTTTATCGAAGTACTGGGGTGATGTGAGCTGGTGTTTTAAATAACCCACCCCTCCCCTACTCACACATTTAAAAATATCTTTTTTCTATCTTGGTTAATTGTTCCAGTAAGTTTCATTCAGATCGGATCAGTTTTTAAGATCTAGTGTAGATGTTTTCCATGGTCGTAGCATCCACACCCATTCCGTTTTACTACAACAAAAACAAAAATCTTTTATTGAATGTCAGAAATCATTTGTGAAAATCTGACGCATGTAACCTTAAACTGTAGGCAGGAGGCTGCGACTGATAATGGTGATGATGATGATGATGATGATAATGATGATTATGATGATGGTGATAATAACATTGATGATGGTGATGGGTGTGGCAGTTGTGATGATTAGGATGATGATAATGATGATAATAATAATAATGGTAAACTTATATAACTTAATATTATGGATGATGATTATGTTATTGATAATTATGATAATGTCAATGACAAGAATGTTGGTAAACACGGTAGAGATGTTGATAATATAACAACTTCCTGATAAAGATTTAAAAAAATGAGTTAAAACAAAATTTTTTAGAATAAAATTTTGCTGATTATCCTGTTTCTATTTTTCATACTGTTAGGGTACAATAGCTCTCTCGTACGTGTATCACAATATAAATTATACTAATGTATTTTTACTTTAGGATGTGTATGACTAATAAAACAGAAATAACATTTGATATTGTCTATGATAAACGTATTAAGAATATGTTTGGAATGAGCTGCAGTACAACAACATGTGAGCCCTGTGCTCTCGGATTTTACGGACTACTATCAGGAGCAGGCTGTAACCCTTGCCCACCAGGTATTCATTTATTTATTTAGGTTATTCATTGATAAATAGCAGCGCATGCTAAATTTCATGTTTATTTGAAAAAAAATGTTTGCTTTCCTTTAATTTTAATTTTAAAGTTTTTTTTATTTTTTATTTTTTTATTTATGTATTTTTCTACAATGTACAATCAATTGAATTGAATCATTTCATACAATGGTGCAAACTGGGAGAAAACGGTGGGACCAAAAAGTGTCATTTAAATAGTGGTGTCCCATGAGTACGATGTATCCTTGTTTAGAAGACTCTAACCAAAAACGTGAAATTGTCCTTTTAAATGTTTTGGTACACAGCATTTTACATAGATTGCCACGATAACATAGATTCTATACTTTTAATTCAATAGACCTAACACGACATAAAAATGAAATAAATTTGTAGTTCTTAATTTTTAATACAAATTTCATAATTATTATCAATATTATGATTATTGTTATAGTGAATCGACTTTACAATTTCAATCAATTATAATTATTTTTAAGTTCGGTTTTCTGATTAAATAACTCCAAAATGTAACAAAAAGGGTAAGGATTGTATAATATTTATGCTGTTCTTGTAGATATTATTATTTCTACTAGAATTATTGTCATAATCAATATTTTACATTGTACGTTATCAAAGTCTATTTCATCACAAACCATGTGCGTAAATTTATTTGCAGGTGGTTTCTATCAGAACCAGCGTGGATATGTCGACAGCGGTAATTATACAACCGACTGTAAACGGTGCCCGATTGGAACATTTTCTCCTCATCTTGGAGCTGCCTCGATTTTTAATTGTCGGTCATGCCCTACTGGAACAGATACAGATGCAAGGGCCGCTCTTGATGCGTGTCCATGCTTAGAGAACTTTCATCGCACTTACCGTTACGGTGCGTGTCAACCGTGTCCAAATGGTGTCGATTGCACAGGTGGTTACCAGAAACTGAGCAAGGGCTACTGGTGGTTGTGGAATTTTACAGGTTATACTGGTACAGATTATCCTGGTAGTTTCGACGAGTACAGACAGTTTGTCTACAACCTTACTGACCCTCAGTTTATGCTTTCTACACCTAACAGTTTAAACGATACAGAATATAAAGGATTTCTCCCCGCAGTGCATCCGTGTCCGCGAAGTGAGAGTTGTCTTGGTGAAGATATTGAAGCAAGCTGCTTGAAGGGTTATTCTTCTTGGTTGTGTGCCGAGTGCAGTGCCAACTATTATGAATTATTTGACAAATGTCACAAATGTCAAGATAAGCAAATCATAATTACTGTAATGGTTTTTGGACTATTGGGATTCATAGGTGTTGCTTACGGAGTGTGGAGACTAGATAAACGAACACGAAACGACTATTTTGTGATTCACTTAAAAATCGCCATCAATTTTTACCAGGTTTTAGGTATACTATCTGCAGTTAATGACATTCATTGGCCAGAATCATTTCAATCTGTTGGAAAAAGTATCCAGTATCTCGATATTGTACGGTATATCAATGTTCTCAGCCCGAGGTGTTTATTTCCGGGTGTTTGGAATGCTTACACATATTTGTATATTGCCATCGCAACACCATTCTTTATCATTGTGTCGACATCTATCATTTTCGTCATCTGGCACATCTACAGGAAGTACAAGTATCCCCACTCAGTATATCACTTAACAGACAACTTTTTGTCGGTTACATTGATGCTGCTGTATTTGACCTACGCCAATACTTGCTCAAGCATCATGGCAGTTGGACCGTGGTCTGTCCGTAGGTTTGATGTCACTGCGAACGGTGAACTTAGAATACAAGTGCTAACTTCTGACTACTCCATCGACCTTCAAGAAGACGGTGGTTTAACGTATGAGATCAACAAGAATATTGCTTATGGGTCATTGGTGTATGTGATTGGTTTTCCTCTTGCTATCATCCTGGTATTGTATCGCAGATACAAACGTCATGAAGTAGCAGGTCGCAACGACGAACGACCAGGAACCATGGGAATAAGGTTCTTCTGCAAGCAATACAGCAACAAGTTTTGGTACTGGGAAGTAATTGATATGTACAATAAAGCTATACTCGCTCTCATCGCCAACCTCAAAGACGACCAAGCCTCAAACATGACATATTCCCTCTTTATTACCGTCATCCTCATAGCACTGCATCTGTATCTTGAACCAATAAAGGCTAAATCAGATCAGAGGTTTCAGTTGTTGACGCTTGTCTTCATTATCGTCAACTTATCTGTTGGTGCAATTGTTGACATCGGAGAGACCGTGTACACTGTAGACGAGACCATACATGTTCTTCATGACATTACACCATTTATTCTACTGCTGCTCAACTTCTCCATTGTGTTTGTTGTTTTTGGTAAGAATTCTATTTTATATTTCCTGTTCAAAATCGTTGTATTCGGTTCTTTAAAACTAAAAGATGCAACTAGGAATATTTTGATAATAAAATCAACGTTTATTATCTTTTTATATAATTACAGTTGACCTACTGAAAAAAATCAAGGAAAGTTTACAGAAAAACGTGGAAGACAACCACGATGACGGGAATGGTTTTTTTGCGTTATTGCAAGATGAGTAAGCGATAACCCAACTATTCACAAAAAAAAACTTGGCCCTAATAATATAATCATTGAAGTAGATAATTCAATTATGTATGTATAAAAACATTATGGTTTAATTGTTTTGATCTTTGTTTTTTTAAAGAATATTTTGAAATAAAATTGTGCCTTTCCTATATATTTAGAACATAAAATGTCTGCCTCTTGAACAGCAATATCCTATTGAAGAAAACTGATTTCATCATTAATAGCCGATACTTATTGTTTAGTGAAAAATGTGCATTATTATAATTGTATATACCGCATTTTGAGACACAAATGATTAATACAAATTTTTGTGGATCACTTAGCTTATATTTTTTTTAATTTCTACTGTATTATGTTAAATTTCCGTAAAATTGTGGTAAATGTGAATTTAGTGACTGAAACCTGCTTAATTCAGTCGGCTAATTGATGACTGCCGGGGCGGATGCAGGGAGATTGCCGACGGTGTAATCGCACCCCCTAAATTGTAGTAATAAAAATAGTTATTTTATTGCATTGTTTAGAGTAGGCCCTATTATGCAGCATCGAAGTATTTATTATACGTGACCTTAAAGATAAAGAAAATAACCTCTCCATTTTTATATCTTTTGACGATATTGTATTAATAATTTGTGTAAGGCTAATTAGGATAAGCGTTTGATTTAACTGTGTTATATTGTAAAATTAATTAACAAGGATTAAATCTGTTTTACTATTGGTGTTTACTTGTTTACCAGGTAATGATGGACATACACTAGTGTTTAGTTTTCTTTGTAATGGATCAGGTATTATGTCTTGAAAATTGGTAGTAAATTTTTTACTAAAAAACGTAAATTTTTATTAAACATAAAGAATAACTATAATATAGATACAAATTTTCTTTATGTACCTGTTCATTTATTTTGTATTAAGGTATTAATGTACTTCTTCAAGTCAATAGTACATTTTGGTTCTGTTTTACATGCTGTATATTGTATAAGATATTTTCCGGTTCAGCTGATTATTGATAACGAGTCAAGAAGAAGCAAAGTTCTATACAAATGTTAACATGCGTCTACTGTCCCTTGGGGTGGGCGGCAAAGTATAAACACTGTTGTCATCTATCAGTTAAAGTAAATCCGGTTGAACTTTTAAGAGTAATAATCTGGTGTAGGAATGACATATTACGTGAGTCATTAGCTAAAGATAAAAATAAAAAGCAAGTTTCCAGTACAACTGTTCCGATTAAACAATTTATGCAGTGTGTGATTTGGTGGGAATGCTTGATCTAAGCCTCATGGAAAGTTTTCCCAACAATAGTGGCAACACTCATGCTGTACGGTGGGTTATGGAGGTATTATTGAGAAAAAGGATCACTCAGCAACAGATCCCTTTTGACACGACAAACCAATGTGGACCCCGCCTTTGGATCGCACGCGGGCGTATTACCCTATAATTCACATTTTTTCGTTAGTAACAACTTGGCAACGACATGCGTTTATACGCTTCAGCAGCAGTTGTGCAATAAAGCGTTTGGTTTTAACCCATTAAATATCTTTATAACGAACAATGTTCCCCTGATTGGATTTTTTAGGACTTTTAGTATGTTATTATGTGTACAGATTCCGTAAAATATTTCTGTTAAAATTACTTCTGTATTCATTATAATTTTGTCTGAAGATCGATTGCTAAGGCAGTGTAAAACTGATAATTACTCTGATTTTGGATTGAATTTTCGAAAGGTTAACCCTCGTTAACCCTAAAATGACTTATTTTATTATAATCCTCCATCACTCCTTAATTAATATCTGTTAAAATTAGAATTATCGAGTTTTATCCAATTTATGGAAATTCAAGTTGAAATATACCATACTTTAAATGTTTCATTAAATTTGAAACTCTTTTTTTTTTTGGACAGTATTATTATATTTGGTGTTTCTTGAAAGATCAGTGTATTAGCTTCATTGTGGAAACGGTTGCGCAGCCATAGTGATGACTGTAAGTAGTGCGCATTGAGAAAATAACGTGCTCTCCATTTCGCCATGTTCAATTTTTTGATAATCTAAGCCTGCTGAGCATTTGGTGGCGGGGAACACATTAGACTTCAAAGGCATCACGCAAAAGTTCTTCACGCGCTGCGGCAGCTTTGTTCTTGGTTCATTTGCATAGCGCTGTGTTTTGAGTGATCTCCTCTATAATACATCCATGGTTCAACCAAAGATAATAAATATAGAGCAGCTTCCCAATATAGTGGAACATCCGTTCAAAAGGCATTGCGGGTACACGGAAAAGATCTTATAAACACAAGATGGCTACGTTCACACCTGAGAGACACGCCAGGCGTATCTGGACTAGTTAAGACTAGGTGGATAAGCCCGGCTCAACTCACCGGGTTTATCCAACTGCCAGTCTGAACTAGGTGGCTTATCTCAAGCTGGGCTGTGTTCCTATAGTAACTAGGCCTGGCGCGCCACCGTGTTTAACTTTTTCTAAGCCGGCTTTAATCGTTGCGGGGGGTCTTGCATTGACTTCGGGTGACGAAATGACCAATCACCATTCAATTACGAACGCTGTGTTTTGAAACACGTTTCCTGGTTACAGTTCATTATAATGCAAATTCTCGCCTGGCTAAACCCGCTAGTCTGAAAGCCCGGCAAAGTTAAGCCGGGCTTAACATTGAGCCGGGCTTAACTTAACAAGCCTGGCTTATCTCCAAGTCTGAAGGTAGCCTGTCGCCGGGCGTACGTTAAATCCATGGCGTAACTAGCGAGCTGTTTAGACTGGGCGATTAACGAACGCTAGTGTAAGTATTCGCGCGAAATATTCGTATTCTTAATTCGCGCATTTTATTTTATGTTTACATCCAGTGATTGCGCGATAATACTGGCGTTCGCTACGCGCACAAGTCCACACCACTCGATTAACGTTGCGCTAGCGTAAGTCGTGTCTGAACATAGCCTATGTTTCGTTTGCAGGATTGGCTGTGCTTCTTGTTCTTAAAGCAATTAACTTTAATCCCTTTCATTGTTTATCAAACCTTAATCTGACCCAACAAATTATATCTTTTGAATTACCGCTCTGCCTTTCTGCGCATGCTCAGCTTATCTCAAGCAATTGTATTTCTATGTTTCTTAGTAATTAGGCAATTTTACATGGAGAGTGTCACACCATGTGTGTGGTACAAAACTTAGTAGTAATAACATGTCTAATCATAGCTACAGTTGAACCTCGCTTTATATATATATAATATATATATATATACAGTATATATATATTCATCTGTATATATATATAACAGTGTTAACGGCTATCTTGATTTATATTATATATATA